AGATATATGGATGTGTAGAAGATGATGATGATCATCAAGAGAGAGGGATGATGTTGTTTTGATTATAAGTTTAGGGGAATATGAAGAAAGAGAGAGTGAGAGACTGATGATTCGGTGAAATATAAAAGGCGTAGAGAGTGTGGACCGCTCAATTGCGCGTGGCTTTCTCCATGTCCCCATTTGCGTACGTCACCCTCCTCCCGCTTCTTTTCACATTCTTCTTCGATTCTTTTAGCATTATTTTCTTTTTATTATATTTCATATATATACATATTTGTTTTAGGAGTAAAACGGACCTAAAGTCTAAAGATATCAAAATTATTACTTCTGATTTTTCAGATTGATGCATTATTAATATTTGCATACATATTTTGTAGAAAACTCAAAACATATACTTATATCATTTTACCTCAAATCTATCTTTGCATGATTTTAACCACACACACAATTAAGCAATGATCCTGTTCTTTTTAATCAAATTATGGTATTCCATTTATCAACATTTTATTGGTCGAAATCAGAATTCAATTAGCTGACTGAATTTTCTAAATCAATATAAAATAGCTTTTGTCGTGTAAATGAATGTTATAAAAATTAAAAACACAAAAACAAAATAGAAAAAATGCATACTTTTAGGGGCTAATGTACATTGCATCTATCAAAAACTTCCGACTGACTCTGACATTCTTTCAGCTTGGGACCTAACTATATATCTATCATTTGTATGTTTTTTGTAATACACACATAAAGACTAGTTCTATTTTCCCAATTTTTAGACTATGTATTTACCAAGTGAGTGTAACTAATGGTGTTTCTTAAGACTTTTTAAAATTTGAGTTTTCTCAGATTTATAATTTGATTTCTGCTTAAAAAACAGAACGGATCACAGACCAACTCTCATTTGAAAAAGATTACGAATCCAAAAATAAAAATTGAACTTTCTCAATAATTAAAAAAGAAAAAAAAAAACACGGACTAGGTTAAAGTTATTCAAACTTGCGAGTTGCAACCGATAATGTACCAGTATTTTAATAAAATACATATAAAAAACTTTGCGAGGATCACAGACCAACATTTAGTTGAAAAATATTACGATTCCAAAAAAAAAAGTTGAACTTTCTCAATAATAATAATATAAAAACACTTATGGACTAGGTTAAAGTTGTTCAATTCAAACTTGCGAGTTGCAATTATGCAGTATTTCAACAAAATAAAATAAATATAAAAAGGTTTAATTATCCGTCAGACCAATGAGATCACGGGTTTTAATGTTGCAAACATTCTGACATTAAGTTTTTTTTTTTGTTTAAAAACAAAAATATTCTGACATTCTGGAACGTGCCACGCTGGCACAACAGAGAATGTCCCTTTGCCACGTGGGACAGACTGCCCCTTTCACATGCTTGTCAACTTCACATCGTTTATCGAAATTACGAACTTACCCTCTTCTCCAATGATTTTTCGACAAGAACCAACGAGAAGGGAGTGAAATCGAACAGAAGCCCCTACGTGGCGGCTACTGGTTGGCTGTTGGAGCTATTGTCTTTACGTAGAAGATAGATAAAGCTAGTACCAATATAGTATACATATCATGCGAAACAAAAATAAAGTTATATTCTTATTTTTGGTACCAAAAATGATTTGATATATTTTTGAGAGCGTTGTTGTAATACTTTGAAAACATTGCGGTTTGTATTCATTCCAAGATCAATTGCCATTTTTCAGATGTTTTTAATTGCAATTGAAGTATTTTTACTAATACTACATAATACGAAGAATTAAGAAGTTACATAGTCTTACTTCTTAATTAGCTTATATGTAACTTTAAGTTTTGGTAGAATGTCTCCCTATACATAAACAAGAAGAATTAAGACTGTGACATGAATTAGTGAAGAGGTTGTAAATGACATGCCACCAAAAAAGATACAGTGAAAAAGATACAGAAGTGAAACAATCTGGTCCTGCATGCTTTGGACCTATGCCATTATACATAGTTTCATCAAACGTGTTTGGAGATAACTTGTTGGGCTTCAAAATTGCACTTAATTATTGCCCTTGTTTCGACGTTGACTCTTGATTACTTCTCCATCATATTAATTAACTAAAATATTTGTTTTTTCTAAATCAAGTTTCATACATTCTTTAAAAGCAAAACAAAATTAAGTTTCATACAGTATATACATTATTTTTAGGGAGTTTTACAAGGAATGTCATAATGGATTTCAAAAATTTTCCAAAATACCATAATTTAAAACCTTTTTCGAAAAATATCACAAATTCATTGTTCATGTGTGGAAAAAAATATTTTTACCTCTAGTTATGATTTATAATATAGTCAGTGTTTAGTCCACCACCATTCAGTTTTTGTCCACTACCACTAAGTGTTTCGTCCACCACCATCGACCACCGTCTTTTTTCACCGGCTACCAGTGTCTTGGTCGTTGTCCACCATCGTTTCCGTCCACTACAACCGTTTTCGTCCACTACAACCGTTTCCGTCTACCATCCAACCACCGTAACTGTCTCTGTATCCGTTTCTGTCCACCATCCAACCACCATAACTATCTCTGTATCCGTTTATGTCCATCGTCTCTGTTTCCGTTTTATTCCACCATTCACCACCATCTTTGTTTTCGTCACCATCTCCGTCTACGTCTCTGTTCACCGTTTCTATTTTCGTCCACCATCATCCACCATCTTCTTTGTAACCATTAACGAGAAAAAGAGGTTGTGGTGGAACGAGACGGTGGTTGAGGT